CGTCATCATCAAGGATCCATAGAGGAGAAGATTGGAATGGAGCTTGCGCACAATGTCGAGGGCCAACGAAACTGCTTCGTTCGATAATATCTTTCCTATTCAAGTCTTCGTGCAACCGTCGAGCGTTGTGAGCTGTAGCGTTAGATACGTAGAAATGACAATTGAGCGGTTTCCCCTCAATCGTTTAGAGTGTTTAACATAGCACCCCTTGGGTGATATACGACGCACTCGCTCCTACGCCTTAGGTTATTGCGTGTGTGTCCCGAGTTCCTTCCCGTTTAGGCGTGTTAAGCCTGCTTCCTCTTTGTTCTCACCCCCGCGCGATTGAAACCCTTTTCTCTCGCATCCTGGCGATTGAGATCCCTTCTCTTGCCCCTGTGCAATCGAGACTTGTTTTCCGCGTGCGCCGAACTACGTTTGCTCTGATCTCTCGTGCCAGACGAGAGTACGTGGGCATAGGATTGCGATGATCCTAGGGAGCTCCCTTTTTCCCCTTTCCTGTAGTTAGCTGAACTACAGCTGCTCTGATTTCTCGTGCCAGACGAGAATATGTAGGCACAGGATGCGATATCCTAGCGAGCACACTAACAACTAACTTCTCTGTTCTCTCGCTACCGTGCAATCGAGACTTTCCCGCTGACGACTGATGTTTCCCTTTCTCTTGCCCTAGCGCAAATGAGACCAGACCATAGTTTTAAGTTCCCATACCTTTAAACCCCGACATACTACGTCCGTTCTACCGCAAACAGGTAACGCCTAAGTCTCCGACGAGCGAGCAGCATACATCTAACGGCTAGAATGCGTACGCTAGTATCGTCAATCCTCTCTCACCCCTATGTGATCGAGAACACCTCTGTTTACTTGTAGTTAGCCCGAACTACGTTTGCTCTGATCTTTCATGCCGTGTGAAAGTACGTAGGCACGAGATGCGATATCTCGGAGAGCAACCTTCCCCCTTTTTAACCCGTAGTTTCCCGAACTACGTTGACTCTGACTTTTCCATTGCACGAGGGAATACGTAGGCATAGAGCGCGATGCTTTATCGAGTCAGTTTCTTTCCGTTTAGATTTAGAAGCCGTAGCTAGATTGTTTTTCACCCGTAGATAAACACAACAAGCATGGATCCCATCGAGTACGATGGACGTGAGGGGTGCTCATACCTTCCCCTTGCGTAACCGACTTCCGAACCCAGACTTGGTTGCGATGACCTTGTCTTATACCTTTCCGTCAGGTTTTTCCGATCGTTTCCTTTCCTTTTCTGTGGGATAAATAATAAAAGGTGGCGACTCTTCTGTTTTGCCGGCACCTTATTTTCGCGGTAGCGACAAGGACTCACTCTTTAGAGATGCTTGTTAGCTTCCAGATCATATGCACTTCTCAGAACTGAATCCACAGGAGCATCGCAACTACAATATCCAGGATCCTTGGATCTTTTTGATCGTGACCAGATACAGATGCATACTTGCTTCTTCAATATGCTTTGTTTGCTTTCAGATCAGATGCACTACTCAAAGCAGAATCCACAGGAGCATTGCAACTGCAATATCCAGCGTCCTTGGATCTCTCTGATCGTGATCAGATGTATAAGCAAACTAGCTTCTCCCATAATCACTTTATGATACGTCACACATAGTAACTTTCATATTGTATTAGCTGCACACGTTGATGTTGTTTGTTTGATCTTATATATATTTAATTATCATGATCTGCACATAGCAAACAATAGAACATAAAATGGTTCTTTCACAAATACTTAATTGTTATCATCAAAACATAGAGATAATCCTGTAGAGACAAATCTTGCTCTTACACTAATTATTTGGACAAAGAAATGTCATTGGAGTCTAGCGTTCCATGTGGTACTTTAGTTGTCCATTCAAATAATATTGCATAAGTTAATCGAATGAAAAAGGTATCGTTAGGATCTAGCATCCAAATAACGCCCCGATTAATTGATTGCGAGGCCGACGTCTCGTTTATCGAATAATCGTCGTTTCTCCTAAAAACACTTACAAAACTTAAACCTCATAATCACCCCTTGTAAACGAACTATTCACATACCCTAATTCGATTTAAATTTGTATATATATTTTTTCTTGATCAAACTTCGAAAGAAGAAGGTTCTTGAAATCTAGCATTCCTTGAATCTTCGAATGAATATCTCTCGAGGCATGCCCCTTGAGTTGTTATCCATTCAATCTTTTGACATTCACAAGTTAAACTATTTTCAAATTAATTCTTGATTCGTCATCGAGCCATCTTTCAAATACCTCTCATAAGTCGATTGCTCGTACGCATTCACCATCAATCTATCACACACACTCTCACATTTTCATCGTGGTTTTGATATTGGGGGAACCCTCAGGGACTAGTATCGTTTCTCACAACCTAACCCTTGATTCATCGTCAAGCCGGTTCCATTTTCAATCAAACCCTTGACTCGTCGTCGAGTCACTTTCAAACCAATTTTCATTTCACCACGTCTTTGCACGCAAGTAAGCTAAAACCCTTGATCCAACGTCAAGTGATATTTTCAACCAAGTTGTAAGCCGAGTGTATTTTGCCTCACAGTCCACATATTTTCGCGACCTATTCGATTCAATATTTTATTCAAACGCATTTTATTCTAAAAAGATACTAGAGTAAGGTTCTATTAACCCGACTCCTAATGATCTTTGTAATCATTTGTATTGATTGCACCATCTTGACCATTGTGAGTGGCTAGATCAACATTGTTTTCTAATCATTGACTCGTTCATTGAATTTTACCAAAAATGATTTTAATAAATTTTGATTTCAAAATTTGCATGAACATTTCATTAAAAATTACCATTTTTGAATGAACAATTTTATTTGCAATTTAGCGTTTAGCATCAAATAAATTCCAACAAATGCATAGTCAGTTAAGAAACTTGATCATGTGAAAGAAGTTCAGTCAAGGACAAATCACCTTGAGCATCGATCAACCCGAGCTAATCATCCTAAGAGTCATTTATTCAAGAGAAAATAATCTTCAAGACTCAGACTAGGGCGAGCTACCACAAAGAGCTCAATAGGGTCCAATCTTCCAAAGATCATTCGATCAGAGGTAAACCATTCCAAGAGTTGGATAGTCAAGGACCACTTCCAGATTTAAAACATTGGGGAAAGACACCTCAAGGTCATGGAAAGCTGCTTCTAAACTCCTGTCAAGGTGAACCTCTTCAAAGACCTAGCAGACTGAGGCAAGATGAGCCATAGTGAGGAAGGTCCCTTCCATACCTTCAAACTGCTCAAGCAAACATGGTCGTACGTCATCAATTGTTGAGTTCAAGATAAGTGTTAGGGAATCATGCTAAATACCTCATTCATTAATCTTTGCCGTTTAACAAATAAGCTTTGATGCAAAAGGGACATTTCATCCAAAGCCTACATAGGGGCATCATTGTAAGCCTTCGAGTCATTGCATAAATCATTCTCATGCATTAATCATGTCACTTTGCTCCAGCGTTGAGGCATGCATATAATCTCATTCATCAAGCATATGCCCATAACATGAAAGAACAAACATCAAATTCAGTCCCCGTCTGCTAGACTATCTGAAAGTCAATTCTCGTCTGACAGTCAGTTTCTAAAACCAATTCTCGTCTAGTAGCTTTTTCTTAAAACCAGTTTCTATATGGTGGCCGATTGTAAAACTAGTTCACGTCTAGTAGTCAGTTTTCTTTTCAAAACTAGTTCCCGTATGGTAGTCAGTTTTCTTTTCAAAACTAGTTCCCGTATGGTAGTCAATTTTCTTTTCAAAACCATCTCACGCCTGGCATTTTAAAGTAAATTCCCCTTTGACAATAAATTAAAAGAAACCAGTTCTCACCTGTTAGGCTATCTGAAAGTCAGTTCCCGTGTAACAAACACATAAACAAAACACTAGTTCTTGTCAACTAATCTATCCTTTAAGTCCAGTTCTTGTGTGGTAGTTCATCCCTAAGTCCAATTTTGATTTGGCGTCCTCCAACCATAATTCGGTTTTCACAAACACAAAATTTATTGAAGCCGATAAATATTGTACGGATGCCTTCGGTAACGCCCAATATCTTCTGGAAAACTCCCTTTGAAGCCGATAAATATCTTACTGATGTTTGCGGTCAGGTATTGTCTCGTCTAGCATGTCATTTTTAAAGTTTAACACCATTTGACATTATATCATTTTAAAGTCCGGCGTCGTCTTGTATTTTGCCATTTCTTTTTCCTAGAAGATTAATGATTTTCTTGTAAGAAAACTTCAATATTTTGTAAGGATGATCTTTTAGTATGAAGACTCTCGATCCAATTATTTGGATGCAAAGCACACAGTCAGAGGTCCAATGCCTCAGACAAAAACAATTGATCTAGACATAACTGATAATCCAAAAATAAAAAGCTCTATATATTGAGGCAATCGACCTTATATATGTTAATTAAATATATTGCAGTATTTTAGATGGGGGAAAGAGATTCTGCGTGACGGGAATATGTTTTCAACGTCGTCCCTATTCTAGAAATTCTAGGACTTCTAGAAATTTCTAATTTTTCAGCCTCTAACAGGTCAATCTGTGCATAGATATCCATTAACAGATACAAGTTGAAATAATAAACTTTAAGCTAAAAGTTGAAACACGATTAGAAGTAGTGGAAGAAAAAAAGTTACAAGTTAATAAAAAAACGATAATCTTGTAAAAAAACAAAATTTACCAAACATATATAGTTTTTATTAGTGAGAGTTTATAAGCTTCAAGCTATAAACTACAAATAGATTTTTATCGGGTGTTTCTTAAATATAGTGTTGAGACCAAAGCGAATCGACGACCACATTGATAAAAACATAAAAAGTAATCTGTGCTTCTAGTGGAAACAAAATTAGTATAAAAAATGAATTGGAAAAAGTGATATCTTACAAAACAAAATGCTAGAAATATTATAGAACTTGCAAGAAAAACATAAAAATTGTATCATTGGATTGCTGAAATAAGTTACTATATTGTTCACTCCTTCTTTTTAGGGTCATAGAGTTGTATCTCTCTTCTATTCAGAAGTTGCAAAGGTCTAGCATTATTCTCTGCATGCTGCCATAGGTATAAATCGTTTAAATCGGTTTTTAGATGTTGATAATAAATTGGCTTTTAAGTTACTTATTCAAAATGAAATTTAACTTAATATTAAAATACTTACATCATGAACTGCCTTCCTAAGTAACTTCACTTGTGCTCTAGACACACGTCTTATCTGATGGTCATCAAAGTTTAAAGATTCAACAAATTTAAAAAAACAATATATATATATAAATATAATTTTAGTTAGTACCTTTTTATTCATGGTCCAAATGACACCTTCAGTGCAAGGAGGGACAGTGAGAGAGCCAAAATATCTGTAATATTTCTTTCCGCCAAACTTTATTTTGGAGGGATTAAACACTCCAATATTTATTTCTGCTTCAGTATCCTCCAAGACTTTTATGAATTTTGACAACTGAAATTGTTGCAAGTATATATAATTAATCTAATTAATTAATTAGTTTTCTGTCCATGTATCTTAATTCACGGAGAGAATTAGGCTACTCTTAATTAATTTCTTAAAAACCTGAAAGATTTATATTTTTCTCTGTCTTAATTAAAATTTTATATGTGAGATTTTAGGTTTTAAAAATAATGTTACCTTAGTGAGAGTAGGATCTGGTCGACCAAACTTGTATAGAATTCCAATAACAGCAATCTTGCTTTTCCCATTTATTTTTGGGCTTTCATGTACCAAGTGTAGCTCCACATCATACCTAATATATATTTTAGTCCAAAATATGAAAAGAATAACTTTTAAACTCGTACATAATATGAAAAGAATAATTTTTAGGAATCTTTCAAAAATCGTTTTGATTCTGTCAGCAAAAATCCACCCAGACAAACTATGTTCTAGAAGCATCTTACTAAACATATTAATATAGTTATGACTCACTCTTTTCCTCCCCCACTCTCAAAGTCATATTAAAATAAAAAAGGTTCCAAAAATTTCAATAAAGTCACGACAAGAAGATATCAGCATTAGTGCAACATATGGAGGCATGGTTTCAAGAACATTAGTGCAACATATGGAGTCATGGTTTCGAGATGTGTTACTAACGTTTGAGATGAAGGATGTCAACTATAGGTTGGCAATTGGATATAAAATCCATCCAATTTATTTTTTAAAAAATTAATCATATTCATCTACTATATAAAAGGTAAGTTAATTAATTAGATTAAATTCATCTATTTATATGTATGAATTGATTCAATCTATCTAACATATTTTAAGGATTCAATAAATTATTTTTATTTTTGTTAGATTTATTTTTTTTAAATAATAAAAATTGATTTTTTCTATAAAAAAAATGGATTTTTTATGAAAAAAAAGTTTTTTCGGAAATTAAAATATCAATTTTTTGAAAAATACAAAAAGTCGAATTTTCCAAAAAAAAACAATTTTGTTTTCAAAAAAAAGAACCGATTTTTATTTTCGAAAATTAAAAAGTCGATTTTTTAGAAAACACAAAAAGTCGATTTTACCCAAAAAAGATTGATTTTTTCTCGAAAATACAAAAAATTGATATTTTTTTCGAAAAAACAAAAAATGATTTTTTTAAACAAAAAATTCAAAATTTTCACGAATATATTAAAAAATATATTTTTTTAAAATTACAAAAAATGAACTTTTCAAAAATAAAAAAAAATCGACTTTTTCTAGAAAAAAAATTATTTTTTAAAATAAAATAAATTGAGTTTTTAAAAATATAAAAAAATTAATTTTTAACAAAATTAAAAAAAAAAATTGGATGGATGGATATCCATCCATTAAAAATATGTTAACGAATGAATTAGATAGATTTTATTCTTAACGGATGGACTGGATTGGATAATTAGAAAAAATCAATGGATTGTTAATTGACTAATGGATTGTTTTGGTCCATCCATCAACAACTCAAGGTGAACAAGTTTACGTTGTTCTACAACCTTGCAAATGCTCAAGGTATTCAGGTCGTGGTGCCCCCTCCCACGACCATTGATTCTGCTCTGGCCCCAACTTCTACCTTGCTTGCTAAAACTTCTACTCGTGCATCCGAGGTAGACTACCTTGTGGATGCTGCAACTACTTTAACTATGGGGGAGTCAACCCTGCCTCCAACTTCAATAAAGAGGGCCAAAAACCAATATCAACACTCCTCCTAGGATAAGGGTTCTCAAAAATGAACTCGTTTCACCGATGTCGGTGTTTTGGGGAGGTAACTCCCTACATACTAATGTTAGATGTATTATATTATCAGCTTGCTCGCACTCTTAAAGAGCCTGGTAATATTGTTTCAACGTTGAATTTATTCTTCGTTCAAAATCTCTTTGAGATGAAGAAGATGGAACTTGTCTCCCAGCTTACTCATAGTATGTTCAAGGTTGCTTCTATATTCTCCATAAACTCTTCTGGTCAGGGAGACGTCTTGGCCTTAGGTAATCTCACCCAAGAAATAGATACTTGGAAAGGGAAATCCAAAACTATGAAGTTGAGGTGCTATACTCTCTAGAAGGAGAAGACTCGTCAGGCGGAAGAGCACCATAAAACTCTTCTTCAAAAGACTCAGGCTCATCCCAAAGGCCTTGAAAGCTCCCCAAGACGAGGTGGCTCATTTGAGGCAGACGATCTGTGATCCCCTTCACCATACTATGCAGGTTATTCTCAGGATTCGTGATAGAGTTGTGGAACAAGCGAGAAAGTTCTGCCTCGATGCCATAATTTTGGCCGAGATGCTGGACCTGTTTCAGGATGAAGTTGGGGTGGCTCAAGAGTGTGACTCTAGTACTAAGTCTCTAGATTTTTCGGCTTGATCTTTCATTTCCTTTATTCTATTTTGTTTCTTGCAACATTTCCCAAGATTTTATGTCTTAGGTGTAATAATTATTAATAATTATGAAAATGATTTTACCTCAAAGGTTTAGGTAATGTTTAGCTTAGAGCTTTCCATTTAGCTCCATTTTATTGTTATTTCTATAGTGAGTCTTTGGTTGTTCTTTCACCCTGCATGGAAAAGTTTGTTTGGTTAGGTTGGACAGTCTTTTGGAGTCAATTGGCCGCGATGAGATACCTATTATGGGTGTGAAAACCTCAACTACTTGTTTTACAAATGAATAAATGTATTTTATTTAAATAAAGTGACATATATTACTCTTGAGTTTTGGTTGATATGCTTGTTCGTTGTATTTAGCCTTTGTAGAAGTCGTGTATTTATTTGTGCAATGCATTTGGCAAGTTTCCAATGCTTCCTAGGATGAAGCCTAGGATCGGCGACCTCGGCGTGATACGGTCGTATCTTTGTATTTTAGTCCACATAACATGGGATTGTTCCCCAACCAAAGGTTAGATACCTGTCTCGGCTCCCGATACTTGGCTCAGATTGAGGTGGTCATCTTTGGGCTCTATCTCCTACCCTTCATGGATTGGCTAGATCCAAAATGGGAGAAGCGACAGCTACGTAGAAATCTGTGTAGTATGCCTCAAATGAGAAGTCATGTGAGGAATGTGTTTTAGTCGTGTCGGAATCGTATAAATGTGTTAAGTATGTATCAGATACGATGTCATGAAAGGAATGCATTTAAGCTATGTCAGAATTGCAAAAATGTGTTAAGTATCTATCGAATATGCAATCATGCAAGGAATACGTTTAAGCCGTGTCAGATTCACATAAATGCTTTAAGTCTGTATCGATACGCAATCACGCAATCTCTGGAATGATCCTCACGGAAATTTCCTTCAGCCTCCGACGTACATGTAGACATGGACCTATGATTCTTCCATCTGTTGCATTTACAAATTTCTCGAGAGAATAAGATATTTGAATTTTTGAGGAGTTGAAACACATATGGTGAATGATCGAATCAGTTGTGATGGCTCTTTGAGTTCGCTTATGAACGCTTATAATTATGAGATCTGATGAAGTTGTGAACTGGTAAATTAGAAATTAGACCTGAAATTGTATGAATTCATATCTAGAGTTTTAATGTTTGAAGGATGTAGTTGGAAAACGAACATGAATTCGTGAAAATCATAAGAAGAAGTCGATTCCCACATATGATGCAACTATTCCACTTAGGAACTAGAAATGGATGTAGTTGGAAAACTGATGATCTCGAATGGTGGTTCTGATCTCCTTTCCGGTGACGCGGAGTGGATATACTTAGCACTCAAACGCCCAAGTCAGTTCAAGATTCAAGATCAAGGTACTGAAAATTGGAGATTATAGAATATACCTAATTTATCTCATGAATTGATTTTATACTTCGATAAAGTGGAGTATATTTTCTATGCGTTGGGCCTTGATTATTTGGGCCTTTTATTGGCCCATATATAATATATACGATAAGAATTGTCCGAGATCTATTACATTTCTTCATATAGGAGGGCATACCACTATTAAGGCGCAAACCTATATGTGAATTGTGTGTTTTTCATATGACATATCTTTGTCTCCATATACTGATCACCTTCAGAAACAACCATTAAAGTGTATCAATTAGGACTCACGGTGGTTATCATGCAAGTCTCTACTCAGGTATCCACATCTAATAAAATATGTATTGAGGAAGTTTGAGTTTATACAGACTATCTCGAAGGATCTCACATAGGGATGTCGATGGGGCGGGGTTGGGTCGCAGAAAACTATCTCATCCCTGCAACTAAAAAATAATAACAATGAAGCCTTATCCTACTAAGCGGGGTCGACTACATGTATCTAATTTCAATATACTTTTCTTTTTAAGATCATGTTTATATCCAATTCGTTAATCTTGAGATCTTTTTCTTAATAGAAAAAAATAAACTTATGTTATTTAATTAAAATCACTTAAGACTACTATTTCGTAACTATATATATATATATATATATATATATATATATATATATATATATATATATATATATATATATATATATATATATATATATATATATATATATATATATATATATATATATATATATATATATATATATATATATATATATATATATATATATAATGTTTAAATAAATAATTTCATTTTTACTAAAGTGACTTTATATAGTTTTTGTGTATTTTCCATTATAATAAATATAAAATAAAATATATTTAATTGAAAATGATATAGTAGTACTAATTAGAAAGCGTATTTAAAAAGGAAAAAAATAAATATTATAACAAAAATTCAAAGGTCCTGTCATTTTGGAGAAATTATTTTGTAGATTTCTTTCTTATAACGAAGTCAGATAGGAAAATTTGCTTGGATTATAAAGTTATTCAATGATAGAGCTTCACTAATCAACATAGGTTATTGATTATGTATGTAAGAATTAAGGGGAGAGAAAAGAGAAGAAATCACATAGGAGAACCACATATCAAATGGTGTCATAGGAAGGGTGAAAATAAGGATTTTTCCAACACTAGATCTTGAAGGGAGGGTTTGGACTACCACGAGGAAGTTCAAATGATATGTGGAATAAGTTGGCCTAAGAGATTAGAAAAGTGGATAAAGAGACTTTGGGCGAATCAATAGATTTTGGATTTAGGGGTAAAGAATCATGGTGGTGGAATAAAAGTTTTCAAAGTAAAGTTATAGTAAAAAAATATTTTTTAAGGAATGGTTTAGAAGTAAAAATGTCGAATGTGGGAAAAGTAGAAGAAGCCTAAGAATTTTACCAAGTAGGCAGTGAGTGAAGCAATGACTCAAATTTTTGACGAATTAAACCAATCACTAGGAACCAATGAGGGAGGAAATCTATATATAGGTTTGCTAAAGGAAGAGAAAGAAAGACAAGATATTTGGATCAACTGAAGTGTGTTAAAGATGATGAAGGCAAAGTCTTGGTTCAAGAAAAAGATATAACAAAAGCTGGAAGACGTATTTTTACAATTTATTTAATGAGAACATGATATCTCACCGAACTCTAGCAGAATCGATAGTAGAAAAGAGGATCAAAACTATAATTACTATCACTGGATTAAAAAAAGAGGTAAAAGAAACGTTGAAAAAAATGAACAACAATAAAGCGATTGGGCCTGACTATATACCTATTGAATTGTGAAAAATTCTTGCAGATAGAGGTATTGAGTGACTCGCCAAAATCTTTAATGAAATTATGAAGTCAAAGCACATGCGTGATCAATGAAGAAAAAGAATTTTAGTTCCAATTAATAAATTGTGCAAATTATACGGGGATTAAACTTATGAGTCATACCATGAATTTATGTGAAAGAGTGATTGAACGAAGATTAAGAAAAGAGACTCAAGTCTTTAACAATCGATTTGGTTTTATGACGGGAAGGCCCACCATGGAAGCGATTTATCTACTACTATGTATGCTGAATTAGTATCAGATGGACCTACAAGACTTGAACTTAATTTTTATTTACTTGGAGAATGTGTATGATAGAGTGCCTAGAGTGATTTGTGGAAAGCTCTAGAGATGAAATGGATTAGGTTTGTATCAAGGTTCAACCCTAAGCCCCTACCTTTTAACCTTAGTTTTGGATGTACTTAATGAACACATTCAAGCGCTATCATTGATATACATGTTTTTTTTGCAAATGATATAGTCTTACTTGGATAGTTGATGGAGGAATTAAATAAGAGGTCGAAGGATAGATTAAATGGATAGAAGTCAAACAACTAAAGGAAGAGTAATATCTAAAAATACTATTGGATAAGTTATTGAGAAAGATCTTGAAATTAACAATTTGGATAGAAATATGATCATGAATAGAATATTATGATGAAAATTTATGCATGTAACCGACCTCACTAATTTTTATTACACATTTTTATTTATTTATAGGTGGGATGAGGTATATCAACTGATTTAAATTAGTTGAGTTAAATAAAGTTGGAGATCTCGAATTCAAGTTCTAATACTAATAATTCATCATTAACTTTTTTTATTTATTTCTTATTTTTTAAGTTTATGTGAAATAACATTATCAATTAGATATTATTATAACACAGCTGACTTATTATATTCACTTGTTAAAAGAAAAATGAATGAAGCTTAAAATATGAATGAATATTGTGAAGCAAACACAAACCTCCTTCCATTGATGGTATGCTCAGAAGGTGAGTGCCAATGAGCTTGATGTAGAAAAAACTTTGTTCCATTAATATTTATTGATCCTGCATCTCCCTCCCATTTCACCTGTATAATTTATTTTAAATTCTTAGTAAAATACTATCAAGCTATTAATTAATAATATTTTTAAAAAATAAAACTCTATTGAAAATGTAAAAAAGAAAAGAAACAAATGAAGAGGATATGAGATATGCCCCTAATCTATCAAAATAACAAAAATGTTAATTAGTTAGATCAAAACGGTCTTTACAATAACTATTTCAAGCACATTGTGGCAAATTAGTCCACCACGTATTATGAATTACAAAATTTTTTAAACTAAATTTTCCAACCTCCTACTTAAAGCATCTTCAACAATGCAAAATAGTCAGAAAACAAATGTTTTGATTTCATCATATTGTCACATAGTAGTCAGAAAAACAATGTCATCCATTTGATAAATTAATTTATGTTAGTTCAATTAAATCCAGACATTTAAACTTCAGACTTATAGTTTTACTAATTCAATGTTTGATTCAAAACGTTTTCCATAAAAAATACTCATAATACCTACTTATTTTACAAACGTTAAAATTAAAAGAGACATTAGTCAAAAAGAAGAAAACACGGACAAAACCGCGTTGGTTAGGTGTTGATTATTTTTTACACGTTATGTGTTAATTATTTGTCAACTATGTCATATAATATATATAATACATAAAATGTACGATATAATATATTAAGGTAAGTGTATTTGCTTATTCAATATTCATGCAACTATGCATCATGTAACATTAATTAAACAGGTACAATAAGAATATAGTTAATGTTATTTAAATAGTACAATAAGAGAAAATTAATGTTATCTTAAAAATGTCAAACATTTGAGACAAGTCTTTTATGAATTGGGGTCCAACTGGATTCAATTATTATGATAGAAATAGCAAGCGTACAAATTATTCAAAGCGACTTATAAAACTTTATATTTTAAGACAACCAAACAATATTCAAATTTAACGTTAATTGCGGTTTTGATAAAATTCAATTTTAGTTCTTTGAGCACATGACTATCCCATAACCCAACTCCGGCTATGTTTTAAAATTGGAAATAGTGTTTTAAAAATCGAACCGATCAATATATTAAAATAGTCGAATTAGGAATTAAGAGAGTTATTGTCCTAATTTAATTTTTACATTAGATAAACTATTCAATCGGTTTGAGCAGAAAATAACTTATCATAGTTGTAAAAACTACCAAACAGAAAATTTTGAAAAACCACTATTTCTCTTTTTTTCATATATATTAAATTTATTAAATATTATCGTTGTTTTGTTATTTAGTTTATATTATAATTAAACTATATTATAATTAAACTTTATTCAAAATTTATTTGAATTTATATTTTATATAATATGATAATTATGTTTAAAATTTTTAAATATAACAAATGAACTTATAAAATTATTATAATTTTAAATTTTTTAGTTGTCAATTGAACTAATACTCATTCTTTTATGAGAAATGATTCTTTAACATTTAAAAATATTTCCGTTATAATTCTTTAGTCCATAAATGATAAATATATGAATAAATGACATTAACTGAGCATAAATTTATTTGTTGTTTCATTCAATAGTTAGAAAAAAGGAAAAATCAATGGTGTTAAACAGAAGAAGAAGAAAAATGAATCTGGGTTGAAAAATTACCTGAATATCATGGCCTCTATTTTTTATAGTAGCATTTTGTGGCTTATAATTCTTCTTTAATTTTCCTAACTTCCGAACTATCCTCACTCTACGATTTGACATATCAATTGGAGATTGCATTCTTCCATTTTTACATGCTTTCCATTCCTTCTTCAAGTCTCCCCAATGTGAAGGACCCTTTTCGCTCCCTTTTATGTAATCAAATTCATGCTCATCCTCTACACAAAAATACTCAAATCATACAATTATATATGAAATTAATGATGAGGAAATGAAAAATTTATATGACTTACCAACTTCTTGTGCTATTGTCCATTTTGTTGAAAGGAGAAGGATAGTTGCTAGTATTAGAAGATTTGAGAGGAAGTTTGTGTGGAGTTTTTGGTGTTTCATTTTGATTTCAAGAAAAAGGGGTTGGAGATTTGGACTTGGAAAATTTGAATGAATAATGGAAGAGAAAACAGAGAAAGATGTTTTATAGAATGAAGGGTATATAAGTAATTGCATAGAAAGTTCTTGGAATATTTGGTGAGAGAGAAAGAGTGAAACTTCCTAGTAAACCCAAATCTGAATTCTTTTCTATTTTTTTTTAATTTTATTAATTTACTTATATTTATTCTCCTTCCAAGAATGACATCATGTCCAATTTAATTTTATATTTAAGAGAAAATATTTACCTAAAATATTATTTTTATTATTTAGGATTTTTAAAATCAAATATCTTCTACATATGCCATTATACAATATAATCTTTAGAATTGAAGAGAACCCCTTGTATGTTTAGAGTTGGATTTAAATCCAATCTCTTTAATTGAATTAGAAAATGAGAAATGTTAAAAACACTCGATTTTTAATACTTTTTTAACATTCATTTTGTTAGGTTTTATTAATAATGCTCTTAGATAATAATTAATTATAAATTTTAATTTTTATATTTAAACATAAAAAATAAATATAATCATTGGTACATAATTTGGTTTTGACATAAGATTATTTTCTAATATTATATTATAATTACTCAATTAATAACTAATCGTACCTAATCAGAGAGATTGTTGGCCGGCTACGCGTCTGAGTTGTTGACTTGACGGACAAAAGGGGGGAGGGGTGTACCTGAAACACACTCTGATGTCAAAGTAAGGGACGAGCAGAGTGATAACAAGTATAGAGAAAAAGGAGTAAGAGTTAGATCACCTGACCCTCTAGTGGAAGAGGGTGTTTATAAAGAGCCCTCAGCGTAGGGCCAACGGTTATTATGCGTTGGGTTGGGCTGCCAGACTCAACGCCAGTAACTGCTAGGGCTAACGTGGCATCGTGAAGACCAGTACGTGGTCTTCGCCTCGGTGTAACTGTTCCACGCTATCCGGGAGGTGGAGGACCGAATAATCGGGAAATAATTACCTGATGACGTGTCTCCGTGTGAGGGACACGTCGAGAACATGAGGGAGGTCAGAGGAGCTTCCCGAGCTGGATGGGTTCTGCCCGACTGGGAGAAGATGTTCTGTTCGACAGGTCTCTGCCCGACGATGAGGTCTTATTGGGCCTTCCAACCTGGTAGGGTTTGAGTCTGCTCGACTATGGGCCAAGCGTCGGCCCAGCCCAGAACAGTAGAGCCCCAAGTCGTTGCTCGCGGTCAAGCGAGCTATGACTTAAGGTGTGAAAAGCGTCGAGCATGTCGCTATGTCGGGAAGGTCGCGGCTATACTGGCCGGGCGAGCCTATGATATAGGGGAAGCCCGCGGTCGAGGAGGGGAATCTGAAGAGACGTAGGGAAGTTTGAGGGTCACCATGTGTCACCCTACAGAGGCTACGGGCTAGGCACTTGAGTGCCTGGCGAGGCTTCGTTTTCCGTGCTAGGGCGTATATATACGTGGGCCCAGCTCGTCTTTTCGTTCACTCGTTCCTTTTGCTACTATTCGACCTTCTGAATTGTCTCCTCGACCCCTACAGCCTTTCTGCTCGACACCTACCATTTTTCTGCTCGACGCAACCGCTTTTTCTGCCGTATCACATAAGTCTCTGCCTCCATACTAGTATTTCTTTAGTACTTTCGACGGTGCTCCCAGCGGTTCCGACGGGGACGCCTGGGAGATCGTGGTATTTTTCAGCGAATACGCTAGAGAGTCCTTCAAAACTAGGGTTTTGACTGACCGTCCCCGCCCCTACGATGAGCGGCCCGAGGAGGATCGATGAACGTTAAATGTCCCGAGGGTAGTCGATGAATACCCTGGACACGATTGATGAAGGCGCCGAGGATAAAGATTCATTTCCCTGGCCCCCTAGAGGGTCGGGTTACCCCAAAATGGTCTTCTGGGCGCCCAGGCGTCCACGCCCTTTCACTTGAACTGCGATGGAACGGTGGATTTGATTTGGCTGTCGAATTCACCATGTTCCTCTACTTTTCAGGTAAATGGCTTCCCATGAAGAAGAGGAAACAATGTGGTATCTGCCCGACGACAAAGAGGGTCGCCAAGATGAGGCCGTCGTGCTCGACTACAGATGTTTTTGTCGTGATTGAAGATAGAGAGGTCGGGTTTCCTCATCAATTTCGAGCATGTCGGCCTCAGGAACTAGACTGTATCTGCTCTCGCTACGACGGAGGTTGATTCCCTATGTACGAATTTGCGTTCAAGGGGGTGGGGATGCGTATGCCGTTCACAGACTTTTAGCAGGGAGTGTTCGACCACCTGATGCTGACGCCGTCTCAACTTCACCCCAACTCCCTCGCTTTTCTCCATGAATTTGAGATCGTATGCAATTATTTCGAGCTTGGGGCCACCATATTGTTGTTCTTCTGTGTCGTGGACGGCGAGTTCGTGGAGAGCTTCGAGTCCCATTTCCCCTTAGAGTGAATGGACTTGCACTTTCGCTCTAGTACAGAGAGCTTTATCTACCGACCTAACCTCCTGGGCGAGGAGGATAGCCTGGCTTTTAAGAAATTGGTCGACTTCGTCGGGCGTCTTACCCCTCGTAAGTGCGTGACCCCGGATGGGCAGTACATCTGCGATGCCGACGGGGAGATCCTGACCGAGACCAGGTGCATCAATATTACGACCCTTCTCGAGTGTCGGACTGAGGCAGATGCTCATCGGTTTTTAGGTGGTGGGTCGCTTCCTCATCTTTCCTTTGTTCTGCTTAGGCTTTCTGTACTAACTATTTTCTTGTGCTCTCCTTGAAGGTGTTATGGGTTCCATGGAAGAGCGTGTGATGAAGCTGCTAAAGGGGGGTGTTCGAAGTCCCTCGGGGAGGGCCGTTGCTGTCAGGTAGGAGGCCGTTGCTGGACCGACGGGGTTGGCCTCGTCTCCGCAAGGTAGCAGCTCCCCGGATGCGCCTCCGCCTTCTAAGAGGCGGTGAGAGACTGAAACTTCCCCGATCGACTTGACGAACGACTCCCCGGATCAGAGTTTTGTTCTTCCCCTTTGTTGTCTCCGGCCCAATTTCTATACCATGGGAAATGTCCCTGTTGTGGCTCCTGAAGAGGCAAAGAGTATCCTAGCTGCCAGCAAGGAAGCTCGGAGGAAGATGTTGTCTGATGACTTGGCTTCGGTGGTGAGGGCGTTTGAGATGACCCCCGTACTTAACGAGGAGGAGTGCTCCTCGGCAGACTTGGCTACCGTTCGGGGTGAGCTGGCGGTATCCGAGGAGGTTCGGTCCAAGTTGGTTGCTGACCAGAGGGAGTATCAAAGACAAGACAAAGTCCACCGCAAGTGGATCACGGAGCTCGAGAAAATGCTGAAGGATGGGGAAGACGAGCTGGCCGGGATGAGGAGTCGGGTTTCTGAGCTCGAGGGTCTGGTTGCTCCTGTTGAGGAAGAGTTCGACGAGGAGAGGCTAGAGGTGGCAATGAAATCCATTTAGATAATATCCATCCAATCCAACCAATAATTTATCTATCCAATCCATCCATAAGACAAAAATAATTTAATGGTGTTGCGGTGGAAATAGGATCACAAACTATTAATGAGTTTGAATCGCAATTCAATTCACAACCGCTCTTTGATTTATCCGAAGGAAAAGGTCAAAAGAGGGAAAACCTATTTTTGCATCGTAAACAAAATGCGGGGAATGATCTAGGGTTCGGGGGTTGGTTAAATTTAGGGAAGGTATTAGCACCCTAAACTTCTGTAGTACTCTACAGGAACCTTTTGTTCAAATGTTTATTATTTATTTGCTTAAGGTATATGTACAAAGGGATTACAAGTGAGAAAAGAGACCTAAGGGGTTAATTCTAAGTTTACTCGGCAAGACATCGCATCTTGTGCCTACGTATCCTTACGGGAGTGGAATCAGAGTAATCGTAGTTCCCCTCAAAAGGGAGGTTAGAGACTTCTTGACTGTGGTCAAGGTCTCAAGGGGAATAAACATGTCTTAAGGACACGCTTACGCGGAGTGTAGAAACTCCAATATCTACGTTGAAATGTTAAGTTGAAATTAGGGTTAGGTTAGGGATTCCGCGGCGGGAAACCCTAAAATGAGCGCGGCGGCTCTTTGACCTAATGCTATGGGTAAAATTGTAATTTTGCCTGCGGCGAGGCATTTGTGAAAATTAGGGTTTGTGAGGTTGTAAGGGTTTGAAGTTGAGGACTATTGGCGCGGCGACCAAAAGCTAGACCTAACCTTCGGATGTGTGTGATGTGACAGGAATATTGATGAATGTGTGAGATAATTGAAATCATACATCAGCAGAATTTTACATGCAGAAACGTAAATGCGATTGTTGAGATTCGCAAGGTTACAGAGGAGGAACAGTTACAATAATATGATACAATTCAATTTTAAGAACGCAAATATAAAGAAACAACATGGTAAGCTGCACAGTGAACGAACTAGGTTAGTAAACAAAATTATGAAAACAGAAGCATGAAGCTATGGGACATTTTTTTTGTGGTTTTTATTTTATGATATATGAGAACTTTAATTTAAAAAATGAAATTATTATTTCAACTCAAACCCTAAAACTATTTTAACTTAGTTATTATATTTTAAAAAAAGATTTTAATGTATTTATTAAAAAAATGGTTTTTTATTTACTATTATAAAAAGGTTTCTTAATCTTATAAGAAAGTTTTAAATTATTATTTCATAAAAGAAAAAAATTTAATATTAGTTTTTTTAAAAAAAAGTTTAATAATTTAATTAATTAATTATAAAAAAAAAGTAAAAAAAGTAAAAAAATAAAAGGGGTTGGGCCGGTCATCACTCCGGACCCAACCCGGTTGGTTAGTAATGAAACAAAATAGAAGTTAGGGTTTCAAAACCCTGTTGTCTCCTTCGCGGCGCCGTTTGTCTTTCTCTCTTCCATCTCTCTCGCTGTGATTCTCTCTGACCATGTTGGAAATCCTGAAATCAAACCGAACCATATTAAAAGTGACAACACTATGCTCTTTGCTTACG